TGCCACAAATTTGTTAGGGGGGGTCACTGTGGTTCATCTTTTTGTGAAAATAGCCATGTTCCAGAAGGAAGTCATAGGCTTTCCAAAAGTCGGTGTGAATGATATTGCCATCCTGAACATGTGCTTTTATTAACGGTATTAGCAAACTTCCAGCCACAAGTCGTCACTCCCATCTACAGTGAGGTCTAGTACCCAATGCCATTCTATGTTCCGTCCTCTATTATACAGGGTGACTGGTGCAAGACCCGCCATAGCAAAATCACATATGAAGGTTCCCAAAAGTTGTATAGTTTAGGAGAAAGGCATTTTTTGTTCTTTAGGGTTTTTCTGAAATTTAACTTGCGAGCTGCCGTAACTTTTTTTCTTTGATGTTCTATCGAACTATTTTTCTTAATATCATTTTATTTTTTAATAATCAAAAAGTCACTTAAGTCCAATAATTAATTTTACTCTAAATAACTTCTCTAGTTCATCACCTTTCCAACGGTATCAAATTTATAACAAAAAGGATTTTCAGATTTCCAAAGCTAATTTGATCAATAATAGTAAATTTGTTGACGAGAAAAATTTTGGTAAATATTGTTATTAGTAATTAAATAAAACAACTGCTAGATTGTACAATATTTATTGATTATTTTACAATTATAAAAACAAATTGTGATGAGGAAAATATATCGGGCATTCGAAGGACTTCGTTATTGTAGGTTCTGCTCGAATTGCTGTCCGCGATTTCTAATACATGCCCGATATCTTTTCCTAATTTCTGTCGTCGTTAAATTAAGTCTTATCTCCTCTTTTATAATTTCGATAGCATTACTAATTCTTTGCATCAACTCCTCTTTTGTGTTAATTGGTTGTTGGTTGTAAACCAACTCTTTGGCCCGACCCCAAACGTAGAAATCTAGAGGTGTTAAATCTGGGGATCGGGCTGGCCATTCAGTTTGCATCAGGAAATATATCATCAAGTAGTTCTCGGACGTCCAGCCTGAAATGCGCCGGGCACCCATCGTAGTAAACATAATGGGCATATCGTCGCTTAAAACTACCGATAGCAGATGAGCCAAGATGTCGGTTAAAATTCTAAATAATTTTCCCCATTTAAAATGTCAGGTAGAAAATGAGGCCCAATGATATTCCGCCCAATCACACTGGCCCACAAGTTGATAGAAAATTTCCGCTGTTATGATGTGGCCCTTTTTTTATGTGGGTTAGTGGACTAATGGTGTAAGTTGTGCAAATTTGTGATTCTTTCTCGGGTAAAATGTGACTCATCGGTCCACAATATGCGTTTGAGGAATGTTGGATCGTCGACATCTCAGTGCAAAATCAAGCGATAAAAATTCGTCCTCTTTGCATAATTACCAGTTTCAAGTCCTGTCAACAAGCCAAAACAACTCTTAATAGTTATACTCGTAAATGTGCTTTTGACATGGTTATAGCGACTATAAATTACTCAATATTCTAAAGATTTGTATTAAAATTTTAACTTTTTCAAATATTGTCAACATCTAAGCTAATTAATCTGAATAAATAAATTAAAAATTACCTAGAATTGGTGTGTAATGATATGGGTGTTGACCACAGAACGCAAAAAGACGTTAGAAGGGCCTTGTGGGCGTAGTCACAATCCTGGACAAATGTACAGGATCATGACTTCACGCGATTGCGATGTTTAGTCATTTACGAACTCGCGCGCTGTAAGTACTGTGAAACACGCCACTAAAAGTGTTAAAATGCCGGCTTGCACTGTTATTAATTGCAAAACAAGAAGCCAATCCTCCTCTGGGCCTAAGAGGGGGATTTATTTTCATTAGCAAGTAGAAATTTAGTATTTTTAGTCGAAATTCGTGAAATTTTATCAAAAGTGTGAATCACAAAAAAAACCAAGAAAATATACATTGCTGGAGAATTACGAATATTTATTACATTGCGCGTAGTAAGCACATAATGTAAAGATCATTGCAAAATCACCGTTCTAAATATTATAGTAACATAATAGATTACGGAAGATCGCTAGTGTAGTAACCATGGGAACATTTAATAAATTATTTGTGTGTTAGTCGGTAAAAAACTAAATAAAAGTAAGGACGTTAAAAATAGTTGTAATAAAAGATAAATTTAATCAGAGATTAACAATAACAATAAATAAAATGTAACCCTATTATAGACTACCATATTGACTTCGTTTGGTATGCATTTGTATATTAATTTAATAATGAGTGTGGTGCAGCGAAGGAATCTGTTTTATATTCCTAATATTGTAACAGAAAATTAGATTTTTTATTTGAAACCATTAACAACAATACTTTTAAATCGTCAGTATCCGATCGGGCTAGGTTCTAATAGCATTTATTGTACTTAATGAGACACACTAGAAAAATCTATAACATTTCCTTTTTAAAATCATTTTTTTCGATAATATTCTAGAATGTTGTAGAACATTCTAGGTACTTCTGGTGTAGGGTATATAAAGCCGCGCTCGCGATTTGTTTAGTCAGTTTGAAGAAAAATGGACGAGCGACAAGTTCGAACACTATACTTATACGAGTACTTGTTAGGCCACAGTGCGCGGGCTGCGGCTGACAATATCAACAATGCATTAGGCGCTGGAAGTACAAGCCAAGCGACGACGGTGTCCCGATGGTTTGACCGTTTTAAATCAGGAGACAGGAGCCTTGAAAGTCAGCTACGCTCAGGGCGACCACCCGCAGTGAATGATGACGATTTGCGCCGCGAACTGCAGTTGATTCCGGATGCTACCACTCGTGAATTAGCGGAAGCACTTAAATGCAGTCCCCACGCCGTGGAACACCATCTGCATGAGCTTGGTTATCGAAAAGTTTTGGCTCGGTGGGTACCGCACATCCTTACAGACGCCAGTCATGCAGTCCGTGTCGCTACCTGTCAGTCACTTTTGCTGCGACCCCGACGTAAAGAGTTTTTGTCAGATCTGGTTACTGGAGATGAATCATGGATTTATTACGAGAACGATACACGTCGTGCTTTTTGGCTGCCTCGAGAAGAAACGCCACCAACTCAACCGAAGCCGAGTCAAAAGAACCGCCGAAAAATTCTGCTTTGCTGTTTCTGGGATCCGCAAGGCATACTGTTTTATGTGCTATTACACAATGAAACTATAAACGCTGACAAATATTCAACCCAGCTTACCAAATTATCTGCCGCTATCAAGAAAAAACGACGAAGACGAGTCAATGTAGTTTTACTGCACGATAACGCTCGACCTCACGTCGCATCTGTGGTTCGCCGGCAGTTGGAGAACTTGGGCTGGGAGACGATACCCCACCCACCTTATTCCCCAGACCTCGCCCCATCAGACTATCATTTGTTTAGAGCCCTGAAACAGCATTTGCGGGGTAAACAATTTAATGATTTCTCTGACGTAGAGGCGGAGTTGAACAACTTTTTCGAGGCACAGCCATCAGAGTTCTGGGCAAAAGGCATCCAAACTTTGCCGGATCGTTGGCAAGAAGTCTTAGATACTAATGGTAATTACATCATTGACTAAACTTTTTTTATTGTAATAATAATAAAAAAGTAAAAACTTAAACCAAGTGTCTCATTAAATTGTATTTATTTATTTTGTATACATTTATTTACATTATATTCTTTGTCAATATTACTAATTTAGTTTCATTTAAGCGATGTTGCCGATTTTTTTCTGTTTACTTGATACTAAATCGAGTGACTTAACGTAAAAAAATTACCTATTATTATTATTTATAAACAAACATATATGTAAACTAGTGGACGCCCGCGACTTCGTCCGCGTGGAAGTCGGTATCCCGTGGGAGTGAGAAGTTTTCCCAGTAAAAAGTACCCTATGTGTTATTCTGATGTATAACCTATATTGCTGTAAAGTTTTATCCAAATCCGTCCAGTAGTTTTTTCGTGAAAGAGTAACAAACATCCATACATCCATACTTACAAACTTTCGCCTTTATAATATTAATATATTATAGATAGGATAAATAATAAGCACGACAAGTACTGATTCAATGTTAGTTAATTATTAAAAGTGATTTAAATTTTTCTTATTGAATCAATCAACAAGCATAATTTTTTTTATTATTTATTTTATTGATATTTTGATTAACATTTCAATATATATCAAAAATAATATAAAGAAATCATTATTCTAGTATCCTTTCAATTAATTATCACTAGTATAATATGTCAAAATAGCTTTTACACGTTTATTACACACTGTAGATGTCTGTTATGGTTAAGCGTGATTGGTTATAGTTATATTGGAGCATTTTGATTGGCATGTTTAAAATGCAAGTGTGTGCATGTCTTTCGTATGATTGGTCTAATATTTCGTCTGATGTATGGTGGACGAAAAATGGGGCAAGATTGGCGATATCGGTTTTCTTACATAGGATGCATGATCGCCTTTCTAACCTCTTTTCTGTGTTCTGTGGTGTTGACCATCACGGTGAATTACTGTCCAGACTTTCCATTTGCTGACGCCCAAAGCTTCAGCTATCGCTGTAGTACTTTTAGTGGGGTCCTGCTCAATTGCTGCCAAAATCTGCTCGTCAATTTCGACAGGTAATTGAAGTGTACTGTTTCGGGGTTCTCTTGCGTTCAGGTTACTCGTTTAATGGAATGTTAGATGGAAGTTTTTTTTTAATTGAAAGGATTCTGGTTATCGTACCTACGATTTTGCGAAGACCTCCGGTTCAAACTGAGCAATAATTTTGTAACATTTACTTTGGGTTGAGATAAAGCTTCTCTTGATCGTGAGTAAGTAACCGCTCGTGCCCATCCTTATTTATGTGTCAAAATCAGGATTATTTTATTGTCATCATCTGATGATGATGATGAAGAGCTAGAAGTTTCGCTAACATTTACAATGCATCTTTCTACCACATGATCCATTATGCCATCAAGTTGGCAAAGGCTAATCGCTGTTTACTGCTTCAAGTATTTTGTCCATCGTTGGCAATTCATTGTTAAAGAAAAAATAATGATTTTTTCTACTTATTCCACATTAGTCCATATCTTAAACTCACCACGTTAAGAGTATTTTCGTTTGCGAAGGCGGTGGGGGGTGACTGCTGGCCGCCTTTTGTGGAATGTTCTTTTAATATATCATACACAGTGGCACGAGATATGCCTATATTAAGAATAAAACATTTTATGTCATCTTCTTAATGAATGTTACTTTAAAATAAGTTTATAGTGATAATATTACTTTTCTTACCTGCAACTTCAGCAGTTTTATTTATTATTTGCGTTCTAAAAGCTGGAGTACCTAAAGGCCAGGACTTCCTTAATTTGTTTGTAAATATTAATTACAATTTGCTTTAAGTGTAGTACTGTAGAACTTAGTGCTTCATTAATTTTGCTTCATTCTCTTCTTTTTTAGGAGACATTGTTATACTTTCATGGTCAACTTTGGGGCCACGTTTTGGTCGCCGTGGGCTTTGCTTAGCCTGAAACTTAAACGACAACGGTTAAGTATAGCAACTGGTATTTAAGTGGATATGTAGCAAATTAGCCGTCAGTCTTATGAGTAACATGATCATCTATATTATATCATAAAATATACCATAAAAAGAATCTTATTTAACTTCTGTCATATTTTGTCACAAAGTTTACCATAAAAATAATCTTATTTAACTTCTGTCTAATGCTATAATGAATGGAGTATAGAATAGCTCTACTTTTCAATCTTACACTATAACGGAATGTAGTACTGAAAAAACTAATTTCAAAATGGTATAGCAAAATGACAAGCTGATTTCTCTTTTCTTTATTCTCTATGAATATCTCATCAAGGAATGCTGCAGGAGCAGCTTCATTTTGTTCTGCTCCTGCTGAACAACTGAAAAAGCTGCTGCAGTTTCTAAATCTTCTATCATCTGTTGAAAGATTCATGAAAATATTCTTGACAAAATAATTTAAAATCACACTTAAAATGGCCGTTCACAACTTCTACAAAGTACCCATCTGCAAAGTGTTACACATCTGGTTGGATTTGCTTGTGAAGTTGTTAACTGTCTTTCCCCCCTCTGAAAGTGACTTTTGTATATATGGTTTATAATTACATTCTTCCAATAAATGAATGCAGTCTCGAAAACCTCAGACAAGTATAAAAATACTGTTTTCTCGGAAATATTGTCTCAAAGGCAGGTTTTCATCATTAAACAAGTCATTATTTGAGCATCTGAGGTAGTGGCTTTATATGGACCAAAACAATCTAAAATGTAACCGTCACATAGCACTAACATAAATGGTTTTCAAATATTTGTATATTTGTGTAATGAATAGGAATCTTTCTTGAACCTATAATTAGCACTTTTATTGGCATAAATATAAGTTCCATCACAAATAACAATTGTATGGTCTGTAACTACACCAGAACTACCATATAATTCATTGGGAATTAATAAATTATGGTTTAGGGTATTTAATCTGCTTATTTGTCCAATACCTAAGTTATTAGGAACAAAATATTGTATAAGTTATTCTCTCACATTATTCATCTAGCGTTCTAAACTTCTTCGGGGTGGTTAAAATTTTTATTTTTGTTCTCCACAAAGCTATTTTTGTTCATTTAGGCATTAAACGTTTTTATGCAAAATTTCAGCTTAATTGAACAATAATTAGGGGTCGCTATCAGTTGTCGATTTTTTTTGATATAAATTAAAATCTGTGATATCAGTAAAAAATAATTTTAATGAATACCTTACAAGTTATAATGTGAGAGAAAGTAAATGCTGTGGTAACTTATAGTTATGCACTGATTCCTCATTTTCAGTTCATTTACAGGATATTCAATTTTGAAGCCACCGAACACTTCTGTCGGTGAATATCGACGACACGCAGGAGATATTGCTTTTGTTCTTCGGTTTCCGTGATTATCGAATTAAATTTTTGTATCAAAGATATACCTCGCCCTGCATAGTCATTCACTACTTTATTTAGCGAGCTTTTTGCTGCATTTCAATATAAATTTCATCAGTAGGTCACTGTGACAGATCTTTTTTTTTTAAAATGCTTCTGATTTTTCTTGACCATCAAAGATAAGCAGGTCAAAAAGAACTTTAGTTCGTTGAGTGAAGAAATTCTTACCTTCCTTCCGGTCATTTTAAAGCCTTTTTTGTTGGTGGTTTTTGAAGATTTTCTACCATTACCCTTTTTTTCTTCAGGAAGAACTCTATAATCGAATAACGATATACCAATTAAATGTTCGGAAAAGTACCAAAGATGACGGCAGAAAGCTTTAAGGACCTTATCTTCTCATTCGGATTAATTTTCACCTGTTTTAGAAAATTTGCATCATTAAAAGGGGATCGAACTGCCAGGAGAGCTGCGTTCCAATATCGCCCGTAAATCAAACTGATAAACAGAGATAATTACGAAACAGATCGTTTTTCAGCTGCAGTTAGACGAAACTGATCTCGAAAAAAAAATTTTTTTTAGGCAATAGATAGCTTTTGCCGTCCAACGAGCTTGACTTAAAGCTCCATGTGTACGAATCTTGACTTCTTCAGTTACTTCGGAACTTCTTAGGAATATACGGGCTTGCGAATGTCGTTTCTTTTTACGCGGAATAGTGCTTCTTGACAAAGAGATTTCTTCCACCGTTGTACCCTTGAGCTACAGATCCAACAAAACAAAATCGTCTGCCGGTCTGATACGTTGATTCGGTCTAATGTTGCAACAACGTCATCGTTAAGTACCTGAGGGTACTTAACGATGACGTTGTTGATGTTTTTAGATTTCATCTTGCTAATACACGACTTAGAAGTACTCGGCACTTGGAAATCATTATCTAAAAGTAAAGATTCAATACTGCTTGAACTTGAACCAGTAGCTTGCAACATAGATTCTTTGTATTAATTAATTAATAATTCTTTATTGTACATAAACCATAATCATTTCAGGCTTACCCGTTCTTGAATTTATAGCGGCACCTTCATCACACGAAGACAACATGTACATCATTTTCGATGACTTCGGCTTCTATAAGTCTAGGGTTAAACGCCCATCAAATGCAAACATAGACGTACTACCCGTCCAGATCTAAGGTTTTTCATATCTTCATGAATGTCTCGTTTATTTGGTCTTATCGTGCCCACAATTGTCAATTTGTATGGTTCAAAAATCAATGACTGCAGCAGAAATGGTCGTGAACCAATTATCACATGTGATATAGCGGTTGGTGCCATGAATTGGTCGCGATAACTCCTTCAAGCAATATTCTCCTTCCGGCAAACCATTTGTGTTTGTAGCTATTCAAAATTTATGACAAAGCATTTATCATATAGTTGGTTCCACTATCGTATATCATGGAGATTTTTAAACCGTATTTATTCGGTTTGTTAGGTATGTACTTCCGGAAGGGGCATCTACCTCGGAATCCTAATAATTGACATTGACTTCTACAGTGACATTGTTTCCCGGGGAGTAGTTAATTTTACATTGAACTATAAACATATCCCAAACCTTTCGAACCAGAACAAATGGATCTTGTTGACGGCGATCGGGACATAAAGACTTATCGTCCATCCTTAGACATCGCACTATAAAATCAAATCTGTCGCTACTCATAACTGCCATATATCTCGCACCCGTAAAAGAACTATCAAATAACTCCACAGTTGATAAATGATTGTCTTTCATTGCAGCACCGAGGGAAAGTATTCCTATGGACGCCTTTAGTTTCGTGTCTCTAAACGTTGACATCTCTACATTTGTCCACTGTACGAGCTCTTGAATGGCTTCATCTGTGATGAATAGTTCAAAACATAAAAGCGTTTCAAAAATGTTACGACACATGCGAGTAGGACCTCTAGTAGAGCGAACTATATTATGGCAGGTGTTCTTCCACTATTTTTCCCTTTAGATGTAGCCCAAGAGTATTTATTCCTACCTCTGTAGAGCGAGAACGAACTTGGAGAAACACTAAAAATACTATAATAAATACAAGGTGAAACAAAAATCATAACGAAGCCGATAACTATACACAAAAATAAGCATCATAAAAAAATATATAACAGGAAAAGACACAAATTTTTTGACGTTAAAGAATAATAATAAATTTGCGGCACGCAATGTAACGCGCACAACAAATCCGAGTAAAACGTCGTGAACATAATGTACGTGCGTGCGGGCCGCTCACACATACAAAGGTGTATAAACGATAACACTGTACATGATAACACTGTAAACAGTTTATGTACGGACCTACTTACCTATTGTTCATCGAAATCACCCAATGGCCTTTCCAAACAAACCAATTGTGGTTCAAATTGGTGATTTTCCACATGGAGACACATGCGAGCACGGTTCTGATGCACACCCTCCCGAATTCCGTCTCGCACAACCCGCTGTTTAAGGTCCTCAAATACTGCGATGATTTTTCGGCGCAATTCATCGGCGGTTTCGCAAGCGCGATCGAAATCCCTATCTTTAACGTAACCCCACAGAAAGAAATCGAGTAGTGTAAGATCAGGAGATCGTGCTGGCCATACGTGAGGTCTGTACCGCCCGATCCACTGGTCACCGAACATCACCATTGACCATTAACGAACTAGCCTCATGATGTGTGCCGGCGTGCCACGACATCATGAGGCTAGTTCGTTTACATATTCGCGAGCACTACTGATGCGATGATATCTTAGATTTTCACCTAACTACACACAACATTACACTTAATGGTCTCACAGTCACACACAACTGATCGCTGAAAGAAATAGCGAAATTCGGAAGCACGCACGAGTAATAACACTTTCGATTGCTTAAACGTGAGACACCGAACTAACGAACTACATAAAAGAAAACCGCCACTGCGGCTTCTTTAATCACTTCTTGTTACTGCGTGTCGACCAATAAGCGCGTGTGACTACTAAAAGGACATAAGATTCAATTTCCGCCATTGCCTAGTTAAAATATCGACCACCGCGATAAAAGAATAAGGTTCAACATGAATTGTTGTTTAAATATTTCTAAAAATGGTTTATTTAATATATTTCTAAATTATTTATAATGTATGTATATCTCATAAAAAAACACACTACACATAAGAAGAGCAAATAATAAATTAAATTAAGTGACAAAATATGGATCTAAAAAGTATATGTAATAATCGATAAAGTAGTACAAAATATAAAAATTATATTAATAATAAAGACACATGAATGTAACATTTCTTATGTGGTAGAGAGGATCAATATATTTCATTGTCGATTGATTCTCTCTACCAGCATGGATGTTATCGCTCTTCCCCACACCAGATCATCTCCAACATCATTTTCCTGAAACACATGTCGAGAAAATATATATTGTTGGCTTTCATCGTCGTCATGTGGGTCAGGAACATTAAACTCAATAGCTAAGTTGTAGAGAACACGGCAGGATTTATTTGCACATTTTTAGGGTGCAAAGTGTAGAGTGCGATCATTACACAGACATGTAAAGATCTTTTGTAATCAGCCCAAAGTATGTTCAATGGTTACCCTGGCTCTTCCATGAACAGAATTGTATTTGGCTTTTGGACTGCCATCTAATGCATCACTGATGGTAGTCATCAGGCAAGGGCGTTGAGGGTATCTAGAATCATTTGTAAAATTAAAAGTTATTATTATCTAACAAAATATAGTATAATTTTGGAATATGTAGTGATTTTATAATCACTTATTATTTACAGTTATTTTTAAAAATGTTTTATGGAACAAGTATTTACGGTTAAATACAGTGTTTTAACTATTATTAAATAGTAAATAAATAAATTTAATTACTTATAGTTTGGCCGTTCAGAGAATGCGTTCCTGACACCTATCAGTTAGTCACGACTAGTGATGGGCACAACATAACACTGAGTTCGTTGCCGTTCCTCCAAAATGAACCGCCGCGTTATTTTTAAGATTATTTTCGTTTTAAATTGGCGGAATCATTTAAAATTTATATTTGAGTTATTTAAGTGGAAACCAAAAAAGGGTAATATTAATATAATAAAATTGTTTTATTTATTCTTTGTTACAAAGTTACAATCTGTATTTCTATGCAACAAAGTACATTGAATTGAATGTACGTACAGAATATTAATCAGACTCCGATTCGCTTGAGGAGGTGGTGTCTTCATCATCATCTTCGCCTACATGTATAATTATATTATTATCAATAACAGAATCAATCCTGATATCTCGGTCAAAATGTTCCACAATCAGATTTTTAGTCTTCTCAACAACCTTTGCCCAGTCATCTCTTGTGACTTTCCCGCAGGCTTCTTTTAATAGGGTCATCATCTTTTTCGTGCTGAATGGCGGGGAATTATTGTGGCGGGCGGCGTAACCTTTTACTTGAGCCCAGATTAGCTCAATCGCTTTATATTGGCAATGATACGGTGGAATTCTTAGAACGCGATGACCGTACTCCAGAGCCAGTTCATCGATTTCGTATCGCACATTTGCCTCTTTATTTTCTTTAACTAATTTAATTAGCTCTGCTTTTAGCATCTGCATATTTGCGTCAATGCCTTTTGCTTGTAACCAAGTCACCATTTCTTCTTTTTTATTAGCTTGGAAAGGTGGTTTCTGTATTTTAACCGAGTGATAGGAGGCATTATCCATGAATATTACAGAAGGCTCTGGTAGGCTGGGCAGAAGCACGTTCTGGAACCACTCTTTAAATGTAGTGGCATTCATTTCCTCGTGGTAGTCATTTGTGGTTGTTGATTGAAATGCCAGTAACGCGTTCTCCACAAAGCCGTATTTTGCAGAACCTGCGTGGCATATTATCAGACGGGCCCCCTTACCCATTGGTACTTTCGACGTCGACGCTTGTGTGTCATCCGTCCAAGAACGGGAAACCGTGTGATTGGCGTTTAGCCATGTCTCGTCAGTGAATACGACATTATCCCAGTTATCAATTTTTTTTGCTTTTCTCAAAAAACTTATCCGTTTTAAAATTATGACGTATCGTTCTAATAAAATTTTTCTTTTGTCTGTTTTTTTATACGAAAAACCAATATCTTTTAAGATTTTGGTTCTCTTAACGATGCCAAAAGCTTCTTCCTGTTGAGATATTTATTTCTGGAATAGTAACCATATATATGATTTATGAGTACGTAAAATATTATCTTCCATGCCAGTAGAGCCGAACTTTTCTTTATTAATATTTGTTATCGTTCGTTTGCTAATTCCAAGCGCCTGAGAGACGCGTTCTTGTACTTGTTCGACAGGTACCAGGGGTCCGCCATTTTGCCGCTCTCGCTCAAAGTAATCTTGCAGCTTGATGATTAACTCACGGGCTCCACTTTTCAATGTTTGTCCACGTTTAGGCATTATTATGCACCAAAAGTCACAAAAACACAATCGAAGTCCGATTTAGCGCCGATGTCAGTTTGAACAGCAGAAACAGTCTATTAAACGAAAGTCGGGTAATCAAATAAAAACACATCGAAAACACTCGAAGAACGTGGTCTATGCGCACGAAACGACAACAGACGACTGTTTTAGCGTCACAAAATGGCGGCCCATACGGGGTTACCATTTTCAACCTAAATATAAAAATGCTACTTTCTTTCGCGCGTTCGGTTTGGTCGTAGTTTTATTTTTATATTTAATAAAAGTTATCTTATAGTCCATTATTTTCAAATTCTTAAAAAGAAAAACAAAACGTATTATTTTATAAAGTATAACTGTATAAGAACAGATTACGATACTATTATTGCCTGTTATTGTTAGCACAGCACTACAAATATAAAGCGCAGACATAACCTTGTAATAGCGCAGTTTAGATTTAAAAAATATTGTTTACCAAGTTATTTGACACTCAGTTTGGCACAAAATTATAACATTAATTGATTATTGATATAATAATGTTGTTTTAATGCTCATCAATTGTTAAAACGGTAAACAACCAGCAATAATATTTTTATCGTAACTGCAACGCCATTACAAAGTTACGTCGTCAGTTCAATCGCGACGTGTCAGGAACGCATTCTCTGAACGTCCGAACTATAGTAACCAGACTTGTTCATTATTTCTGTGTAAATTTTGCATAAAACTGTTTACCAAACTATTCTCCCAAATAAATGCATCGTGAGTAGCATGGGGGGGGGCATATTTGGCATTTACATTTAAAATCTTCAAATCACTGTCGCATACCTGAAAAAAACGTCAATCGATTTTATTTTATTCGCGTCCTTAACAATCGCTGTTATTTAGTTACCTTTGAGTAACCAATACCTACCGCTTGTACATTTATTTAAAAAAAATGTTTTCTAGAATAAAATAGGTGCTCCCATATTTTACCCCCCAGGGGAAGTATATTTTACATAGAATCTGGAAAAATTAATAACCCATCAATTCAAAAAAATATACATCACACAGCAGTTATAATCAAAACAGAGGAACCGACAATGACAAAGAAAAAATAAACAGCAAATTTTAAAAATATGACTAATTAAACTTATAAAAAGGATGGTAACATTCGATCATTCTCCATCAAATTTTTATTATCATGTGATTAGAACTTAATTTTTATAAACGTACAATAAATTTTAAAGTTGTTTAGTGAACATTATTAATTCAACACACAATGGATTAATTACTTACTGATATTTTATTGGTTCTCTGTGTATTCTTGTGTCAGGAAATTAAAAAAATTCATCATCATTGTTTATGCATCGGTGACTTCCTGAACATATTTGCTGACAGTAGTTTGACCCAAATGTTTTGCCATACTAACAAGCCTTTGGTTTGATTCAGTGGCATAGAAAGAAAGAGCACAAAGGACCTGTAAAATGAGATCAATTTATTAAATATTCTGTATGATTGGGGTAAGGGAGTAATTATAACAACTTTTAATGTTAAACATCTTACCTTGAGTTCTAGACTAATTCTTTAGCTTGATTTTAAAGACGTGTATCGTCGAAGCTTATCACGTAAAAATTTAAGCTCCTTTTGGTTAGTCGGAATCTTTTTCTAAATTCTAGTTCTCTTATTTCAAGCAAATTCATTAGATTTCTTTGTCGAGCTCTACGACTTATTTCACTGCAAGAATTAATTAAAATACTATAAGTACTTAATTGATTTTATTTAAAACTTAGTAATTAAATATAAACTTCAATAACTAATATGTTTCTCTATTTTAAATTGTTACTCTTTCATTTAATCTAAAAGCTAGATAATAATATAATGGACTATGTTGATATCCAGACACTCTGCATTTTGAAGTCAATTTTAATCCTAACAATCACACAAAGCACTTTGAAATATGGCTGAAAATCTAACGCAAGTATTCTCACCGACAAATTCTACGTGAATAAACATTCATAAGTTTACGATAGCAGCCTTCGTAAGTGGCGACATCGTACATCAAAAAAAGTTTGTGCTCGCAACTTTATAAGAAACATCTCAAGTATCGTTGACGACACGTAACGATAGCGATACGAATGTGCTTTGTGTTTCCAAATTTAGTTCCGTTTACGCCCGCTAGAGGCGCTGCGTAATTCAGACACAAACATTTACGATCACGATACGAATATTTTTACGCATATTGTTGGTGCTTGCCCTACTGATTACTCTATGAGGCGGAATGACTTTACGATGGTCATGTTCAAGTTTTCCAGGAGATGTTTGGGAGTGGTCGGACAAGTCTTGATTGACAATTTCGTCCATATACTCGTCATCATTGTCACTTTGAACGTCATCTTTACTCGTATGGTCCTCTACTTCGCTGTCACTGCCATCCTGTCTAGTTTTGTCCTCCTCTTCATGCAATAATGCCGCAACTTGAACCTTATCTATCACTGTTCTATTCTCCATGATATTGTAACTATACTAAAACTTATAAAAAATAATAAAAAAACACTTATACTACTTTTATATGTACAGTACAAAAGTAGAAATAAATAAAAAAATAACAAAAACCAAATCACAAAGAAAAATTTCAAAGTTGCGCTAAAGATAAAATGGCGCCTTTCAAGGGCCACGTGTTGCCATAGCCACGAAACTATGGTACAGACAGATTCAAACTTTATGACTTCTCTGAACTTAGCCGCAAATGCAGATGCGCGCAGGTACAGTCAAGTAAATAAACATAGATATGGACATAGCATCAAAGAAGTATCAAAAACTTATCACGGGATCATAGAGTTCCAGATACATGTTTTGATGCTTTACCCGTATCCATTTTATACACTTGAGTGCACAGTCAAAAAAAAAACAAAACTGTTACTACATTTTCATGTTATTTATTGAATTAAAATTTGGTACATATGTATCACTTTTTGTGGTTAAAACACAGATGAGATATGAAATAAAAAATAAAAATAAATGAATTTTGCAACAGTGACATTATAGGGGGCTTAAATACAATGAAAAAACTTGCGAAACACTGTTCATGCGAGTTCAATTCGCACTTAACCGGTATATTTGTTTTATTCTAATGGCTCTATTCCCTCCATCGTCATTTCTCTACTCGTGGAAGGTTCGTCATCCATCGAACTCTCACTTTCCTCGTCTTCACTTGAATCGGACTCGGTATCCGATTCACTAAGGTGAATCACCAACTCTTCTGTCAATCCGTCGATGACCACGTCACTTTTTCGATATCTTTGACTGTTTGGCAAAGTGCTCGCCATTCAGTTTCACCCATTTGATTCACCTTTTCTTTTACAAGCTGCATAACAGCATTAACCCAGATAAGCCTACTGTCCTATATTTAGGACAATAGAAATTAAAAAAAATATCAGAATACCCTCTTTATCTAAGATTATTTAGTCTTATGATTTGCAGTAAGAAACGTGTCAGCTTTATTAGAAAAAATAAAAAGACAGTTATTATAACAGTTTTTACCTTATATTTTACCTTATAAGTGTGTAATAAAAGTACGTTGCAGACATGGCAAATAACAGGTATGTATAAAAAGTTATATTTTACTCGTGAGTTGTTTTTTTCTGTGTTAATATCTAGTTGATAACCTTAACTTTTGTACTAAATAAATGTTCTAGCAAAATAATATAAATAAATTACGTATAACTTGTTACAAATACTAGCGTACTATATATAGGACAGTAGGATAATATACATGATTTTAGTACAATAATACAACTTTTTCTTTACAGACCGTTAGCTGCGCATGAAATTTTAGATGCTTTAGAAAATGTTTCTGATAATGAAGAAGATTATAGAGAACGACTGATATGTATTCTACCTCCTCCTGTTGATCCTGACTGTCTCACTGACGAAGATTCGGGTGAAGAAGATAATGTAACTTTGAATAATTTGCCACGAAACATTCTGCTTCAACCGGCTGAAGTAATGATTCAAGGGCAGATTATGGTGAGTGATACAGAAGAAGAACCTTCTGATTCTACAGGTCGAACTAAACGTAGGCGTACCTACGCATGGAGAAAACGGGACTTGGCAAAAAATCCCGTGAATTGGCCAGATGTTCAAGGCGCTTGCCAAGATAAGCGCCCAATTGAGTGGTTTGAAAACTTCTTAGATGAAGATGTTATTTCGTTGTTGGTGTCAGAGAGCAATAAATATGCTGTCAAAAAGAATTTGCCTGGAGACATAACCACTGAAGATATGAAATGTTTCATCGGCATATTGTTGGTTAGTGGTTATTCATGGCTCCCCCGTAGAAGAATGTATTGGGAAAACTCCCCTGATACAAAGAATGAATTGATCAGCTCGGCTATGACTAGGGATAGATTTGACTTTATTTTTCGCCACCTTCATGTCAATGATAATCTGGATTTGCAAGACAAATACACAAAAGTACGCCCCCTAGTTACACTTCTAAATAAAAAGTTCTTAGAGTTTTCTCCTCTTGAAGAGCATTACAGTGTAGATGAGGCCATGATCCCCTACTATGGTAGACATGGCTGCAAACAGCACATAAAAGGTAAACCTATTAGGTACGGGTTCAAAGCTTGGGTTGGTGCTACACGGTTAGGGTATGTTTTATGGATGGAACCATACCAAGGTGCTACAACTATGTGCAATCCAATATATAAAGAATTGGGGCTGGGTGCAAGCGTTGTTCTCACTTTTTGCGATGTGCTGATTTCACGTGGCTTCGACCTTCCTTACCACGTAGTTTTTGATAATTTTTTTACTGGGACGCCCTTGCTGGAAGAGATAACAAAGAAAGGCCTTCGTTGCACTGGGACAGTTCGAGAAAACAGGACATCTAGTTGTCCTCTGATTACATCGAAGTTACTGAAAAAAAAGGAACGTGGTGCTGTCGATTACAGAACGACACATGACAACACATTCATTATTGCTAGGTGGCATGACAATAATATATTCAGTATTGCTTCTAATGCTGTAGGAATAAATCCTAAACAATCTGCCAAACGCTTCTCACAAAGTGAAAAGAGAAACATTGTCATAGAAGAACCACATATGGTGTCCATCTATAACAAATGTATGGGAGGAGTGGATCGGTCTGATGAAAATATTTCACATTACCGAATTGGTATACGAGGTAAGAAATGGTACATGCCGTTGCTCACACACATGATTGATCTTGCCGAACATAATGCATGGCAGTTATATAAAATAAATCATGGAAAACTGGATCATCTTGGCTTTCGCAGAAGGGTAGCAATTGCTTTGATTGAATCAAACAGAAAAAATGCCAAAAGAGGGCCTAGCCGACCCTCCCATCATGAACATGCTGATAGTCGTAAAGACCAAATGAATCATCTGGTTATTCCTCAATCGAAGCAAACACACTGTCGTCAATGTCACAAAAAATGTTTGACACGTTGCAAGAAATGTGATGTTGGAGTGTGTGTCAAGTGTTTTGAAACATATCATTCATAAATAGTGTTAATCTAGTAAATTACATATAACAATGGGTAATATAATCAATAGTTATCTAATAAACTACACTTTTTGATTACATTCTGTTTTGTCATAAATGGTCTTTTATTTCCTCTTATTATCCTACTGTCCTACATATAGGACGGCTGTTTCCCTGAAAGCCTTACACTTAATTTTTTTTTCATAATTTTTTTTATGTTGCATAAGATCTAATAAACTAAATAATGTATTTTTTTCAAAATTTTCAGAAAATTTTAGTTTCAGGCTTATCTGGGTTAATGTTCTAAGTAACATTTTTCTTTGCCACATGCTGTTTAATGGCTGCCCATGCCATTTCGATGGGATTAAGGTCAGGGTGGTAGGGTGGAAGTCGCAAAACATCGTGATTATTTTGTTTTAATATTTTGTCAATGCTGAATGTCTTAAAGCATTCTTTATTTTGCTTAATAAGCTTGAATAATTGCGGCTTCAACATGGTTTCCTCGAAGGAAATGTTTTTTTCTTGAAGCCACTTTTGCATTTCAGCTTTTTTTGAGTTGGAAGTTGGCGCTGGTTCCTCCTGTTTGTTGTGGTATGAAGCATTGTCTACCACGACAACCGAATTAGGGGGCAAATTTGGAACGAGAAGAGTCTTTACTCACTTTTCATAGTTGGTGAAATTCATGTTATCGTGGTAATCGCCACTTTTTGTACCAGCCTTAAACATGAGTAATGCATTTGGTACGAAACCTGCTTCTGACCCCGCGTGCACGATGACCACACGTTGTCCTTTTGATATTTTAGTTTTCAATCCCATCACAGACCCATCACTCCAGGACTTAGATAAGCTGTGTGAGCTATCAACATATGACTCGTCGGTATATACAATTAGTCGTCCCTCCGAGCGGTATCTATTGATTTTTTGTAGGTATTCTATGCGTTGCAATCTAATGTTTGACTGTTCAATCAAAACCTTTCTTTCATTTTGAGCTTTTTTCCAGGTGAACCCTAATTCTTTCAATATTCGTCCTAAACTTGTTTCAGATCCATTGAAATTTATGTCCGCTTTTAATTTCTTTTTTAACTGCTTTAAAGTTGGTAATTCTTTTTCAGTCACGCATCTCTTGATAACTCCTTGATCGAAGTTGTCAATGCCGGTGACACGTTTTTTTCCTGCCCTTTTTTTTCCAGATGTACGAAAAACTGCTAACATGCCAGACTTCTGAGCTGCTGCCGATATCCTTTGCACGGTACTTAAAGAAACACCTGTAGCTAGCGCCGTTCTTCGAAGCACACAATTCAGCGGAACTTGAACACCTTCTTCACTTTCCTTTTTCATAAACTGCATTACGGTATATACCATTTTTCTTGCTTGACGACGTAGAACGTTAAAACGCCCACGTGGCATGGTTGTTCACCAATACAACAACAAATAACAAAGTGAAAAACGTAACGAGAATAACAATAAAACTTAACAATACAAAAAAATAACAAAAACGTAATTAAGAAACAACAATATTTTTTTCTCGACTGTACTTTCTAAGCAGCGCGCGCGTGTGTGTAGTGATGAGACGTGGCTAACACTACTCTTACAAGTTCAAGCGGCAACTGCGGGTGCGCATGTGAAGCGTGGGGGGTGGGGCTCCTTCGTCGCGCTCCTGTACGTCCCGCTGACACCTTAAATCGTGTTCTGCGCATGGTTTTGCGGCTAACTTCCGAATATTCATAAAGTTTGAATCTGTCTGTACTTACCGAACAGGAGCGGTCGCCTCTCCTAGTGTTGACCAATGACTGGATTAGCACCGAAACACAAGCTTGTACGCGCGTAAATTAGAAATAGACAGCAATATTTTTGTATCGCGGCCCCTTTTGAAGCCCATATTATCTTTCTAGGGTTAAAAAACCCTATTGTAACTTATCCTATCGCTACTGATAGCAATAAATGGAAATAAATATACAAGTATCCCAACCAGTGCAAATCGGTGGAGATATGTGGAGTAACAGAT